AGATCCTAAACTGCAGTCTGTGGTGCCCTTCCCGCCCCACCAATTCCAAAGTTTTCAGAAATACATATACTGTCTGGGAAATGAAAGTAGAACTTTTTTTTTCCCTCTATGAAACAGTGATAGGAGAAAAATATAAAAGACCAAAAGTTGCTTGTACTCAAGAGGTCTACAAGAGCTATTTTTGTTAAACTCTTATCTTCTATTTTTTTTTTTCTTAAAATCCATATTGCTAATACTTAGAATCTTTGATTTTCAGCAGTTTCCTATGAGACAAAGTTTTGCATGGTGTTGATTACAACATTCGATATATCAATCATGTTTGACACTGAAATTGCTTAATCCCATTTACCTCCAGTACTTTTCAAAGATACGTTATATAATATCCTGTGCACTTAATAAAAGCATGCTAAGTGTGTTAATTTATATACTCAGTTGTTGTGATCTGTTGAAAGATATCTGATAGCTCAAGGCAGATATCCACCATTATTTGAAACACGCAGAAGCTCTTACTTGAAAATAAAAGTAGTTATATAATAATAATAAATAAAAACCTCAAAGATAACTACTATGCAAATATGTAATTCAGGAAATTAAAATACAGAAGTTATCCAAATAGTGAAATGTCACGTTATAATCAGTGAGTAAACAAGATCTAGATCAGAAATGCAAATTTGGGTTCATAAGTATGTCACTTAGCCCCAAGAGGGCATGAAATAAGCATCCTTTTAAAACAAAATACCATTTTGCAGGGATATTTCTATGATTGTTTGATAGTATAACCATTAAAAAGGAATGTATAAAAATTCTATACTTACCATTTATGCGGCAGTCCCAAGTGGAAATAAGGATTCAGTTATTTTGGGTATGAGTATGTAGAGGTGACATTGTCTTTCTTTCTGTTCATAAAGCTTTTAAAACATGCTAATTTCACATATTTAATTCAACACCTGAAAATGGAAGTCTTAAAGGGCATATCTTATTTTATTTTTTGTTGAAATAAGAATAATTATTTTAAGGAGATCTGTGTTTTTGGTAATATAATTTAAGGAAGAAGTAAGCACTTATGTTTTGCAAGTTCAATGGAAAAATTATGATACTTTGAAAAAAATGGGGTTTTATTTCTGAAAAAACAAGTAAGAACTGCAGACACCCTACTATACTGCTGGGATTTTAGTCCATCTTAAAAGGTGGCTTCTTTAATTTATATTTTAAGTGTTCATTAACAGGCAATGAAGTCACAGACTGAGCATGTAATAATTTTCTCTCTCTCTCTTTTTTTTTTTTTTTTTTTTTTTTTTTGGACAAGTACAAAGGAAAAGCCTTTCAGGGTCAAACAATTTTCAAAACTATAAGGCCTCTATTCTTTTACATCACATGAGGCTTAAATGCATCCAGTTTAGATGGGAGTGGTGGAATGTAGCTGCCCTCAGCATCTTCTGTGAAATGACTGTTCTCCAACCTAATTTTCATTTCACAGAAAGAGATACCAAGAGTGCACAAAAGGGACAAAGGTTCAACTGTGCATAGCTAGTGTTAGCATGCATAACTGCTAAACTAATCTGATTCTGGCCTTGAAAGTTAACAATAACCTTTTTTCAAGACTTCAGTAAACACAAATAAAGGGGAATAAAGGGGTGCTTTCTTCAAGATTAAAAGTCAAGGTTCAGGATTTTTTTTTTTTTTTTTTTTTTTTTTACTGTAATGGACTTACTGTTCCAGAGTAGCAGTGATGCTGAGAACTAACACAGACAGTGAAGGAAAATGCCATTCCACAACACACATGAGTTCTTGGAGTTCTGAAATAATCTCTTCCAGTGTTTCAAGTCAGTGAGCTAGATTTGTTGTAATAACCATGGAATAACTGATTAGCAGGTTTGTTTTGGTCTAGGAATGAAGGAAACCCCAGAAGAAACAGAACTTTTCTACCATGTCCACTTCTTACCATCACTTTAATATAGAGATGCTGAGCAGCTATAAAAGACCAAGCTTTAACTTATTTATACAAAATATCTGTCTCCATTAGAGCACGTTGTCTGTTTCAAATCATTCACTGCTTGGCTTACCCTGCAAGAGATCTATGAGAGACACCTCTACATTAGAAGAGTTGGAAATGTGACTTAAGTGGGAACCTTTAGAACAAGAAAGGCAATTATAACTAAGGAGGAATCTTAAATGTTATTAATAGGGAGTCCCATAATGAGATTGTTTTTGGTGAAATAAAAGGTAGGTGGTGTCAAGATAGTATTGTATATTAATCTTAAGCCTGAGGTTGAGTTAGGAGTGAATTACAGCTAGGTGGGCTGGTAAAGTCAGCTGGAATGAGGCAGAAACTGATACTGGTTTAATGAAGTTTGGTTGACTAGCCCCCAAAGAAGATAGCAGACACGTGCAGGATCCCATTAGTGAGACTGTGACTAGAGGTAAGGTTAGAGTCCATTTAATACCAGTGATATCTCTGTGGGAATTAATACTATGCAGCCTCTGCCTTCAGGTGGCTGTGAGGGCTGTGCTATATGAGGAATGATAGAAGTCAAAATCACAGTTTGTATAAGAGGACTGCCAGGAGCATGGCTGTAAATGATACAGGATAATAAGTGATCCCCAATTTGTTCACATTTTATGCTCTGCTGACTTCCTATGCAAAAGGAAATAGAAAGGCAGGTCTTAAATGTTCTGTACACACACTGGGTTCTCACCACCCTCTTCTGACTTTTTGTACTTATTTCTACACTAATTGTACATATTTCTGCATTGGCAAGATAAGTGCATTAAAGGTGAGGTACAAAGGGAAAAAATAATAAACTGTCATATAAGTTAGTATGCGTAGAAGTTGTTTATCCTGTATTACACGACTAAATAATACAGAATAAACAGAATGACTTGCATGTATCTCAAAGTGATGAGGATCAGTTTTCTCTGTTGTCTGTTTAAGATGACAGCTTTAATACAGATGCTAAATATCAATAAGTATTGTCTAGCTCTAATAAGTATGGAAACCACTTGTGAAATGTGTATTTGTAAGTTCAGTGAGAACCATCTAAGGGAAACTCTCTAGCCATATGTAACTATAAAATGTGTGACTATGATTGTTATAAGTCTTCCGTGGTTCTCATCTTACCTTTGCATAGCTATAATGTTTTTGTCTTTACTCAGAAGGAACTCTGACACAAATTCTCAATAATACTTCCAGCGTCTCCTGCAAGGATTTTCTCATACATGTCAGAATATGTTTCTCAGGGCCTTTAATTTCAGCAATAGCTCTGTGCATTCTTTTAGACTGTTGTCCATCCCCCTTCCTAATATTAGTACATAATATCTCAGTTTTAGTCCCAGCAGTTCACACCATAAAGGTATCACTGTAGCTGGGTAATGTAGGACTGGTTTGCAGAGCTAGTCCTATTTTGTCTCAAAAAAAAAAAAAAAATAGATTTTGTGTTCAGAAGAGCAGAAAATAGTTTTGTTAGCCTGGTTTATGAATATACTAGAACTTTTCAATTAGCACAACCTGGTTTGTTAGGGTGACAAACTTATGGACATCAAGCAGATGAAATAGTCAAAATAAATAACTACACATAATTGTATAGTTAACATATGCTATAGAAGTGACCAGGTAGCTATTGGTATTTACTCTTAAAATCTCCCTTTGAAATACTAAGTTTGAAATGCTTCAGTTAACTGTCTGGTTTAATGGATTGTAAACAAGCAAGTATCCTGCTAATTTCTCTTTCCAGAGAACGAGGTTGTATCAACCATTAAAGATGGCATGGCATCTTTCTGTAAAATAAAAACGATGGCCCTTTTCCTCTTCTCTTTTTAACATTTCAGGTGATTTATGAAGGTGAAATATGTTGAAGCAGTCAGCAATTTTAAGCTTTACATAAGAAGAAAAAATGGATGTAAACAGTATTTATTTCTGTTTTCAACGCATCATAATAAAGTTGCATAGGTTTCTTGGAATTGTGTGATTTTTAGTGTTCTTGTACAGATTTCAACAAGGTGCCGCTGTTTATGCAAATAACAGTAACTGTTGAACCCCATCTGTACTCACAGCTGAAGACACTATGTTGCATTATTGTGAAATATCTGTTAAGAATTATTGCTAAATCCCCTTGAGGATGACAATATTTTTCTTGCTACTGCTAATGTAGTGGTAGACAGGTATGAAGCCAGACGTGCATATGAAACTTTATCAACACCAGCATTTGTAACAAGTTCTACCAAAGACAAACACAATTCACTAAATGGCATTAGCACTAATACAAATGTATTTTATGCAGTTGTCTAAAGTGTCCTGTGACCTCATGGTTGTTTAAAATCTCATTTTTCTCATTTTCTTTTTTTTTTTTTTGGGGGGGGGGGGGTTGCTTCTGATGAGTTATAGAGCAGTGGTGCGTTTATCATGGCAGTGCTTTTCCTGCTCAGATCCACAACATGATTTGTGGATTTCTGAAACAAGAGCAACCCCAAATCAAAATCAATCAAAGAAAAGTTTTTCAAATGCTCTACCTTGAATTTTGCACTTGATCACAGTGAATTCTGGGACAAGAATTTGGGTAGTTTGCTTAATAGGCTGGGAATATTCTGCTGACACAATATAGAATATATTTAGTTTCAGAAATGCAATTTAAAAATCCATTCAGAATATTTGACAGAAAATATAGAGCTTAGCTTACAGTTTAGACTTCAGTCTGATAAGATAATAGATATATGATACGTGTTTTATACTAATATCTGTCAGGATGCAAATGGTGCACCAGAGAAGCCTGTATTTACAGGAAGAAGCTGATGACCATGTCATTGATGATCATCTTTATTGCTTCATTTGGGAAAAATTTTTTAGTTTTTTACTGTTGCTTTTCTATTATGCCTCGCCTTTTCTGAGGCTTTTTCATGGTTGTTTGTCTCAATTGATGTCTCGTATACCCATACTCGTAAGAAAATGACTTGTACCAAAATAACATTTCAGTTTGTCACTGAACTTTTACATTTTATTTTGACAGGAACAGACCTGTAAAGATGTTTATGTGGTGGTCAGCTGTTTTACTTCTTGGATGCATTTTGTTGGGAGCAGATGGGTGGCCAGCCAAGGAAGGATACAACTTTAGGCCTTATCAGCCCCTAGTAAGACTACGCCACAAGGTACTGATTATTCTCTAGCACTTCTGACTCGGGCTTCATGGTTAACAGTTAAATTATATGCCAGCCTTGTCTTGTTTAGATTTATTGGAGTGGTGTTTAGAAATTAACTTTTTCAGTAATATTCAGCAGAAATATAGACTTGCTTTGACAAGTGAACAGGAGCTGTTTGGAGTTGGAAGCCCAGAAACCATTCAAAGATAGTAAGATTAGCTGTATTCTAGTTTAACAAACTAGAGATTATGTACATCAACAAATGCTGTCATAGAGAAAGGAAAAGTTGTCTCCCAAAGAGACTGTCTGCATCTTCTTAAGGCAATGACTTGTCCCAGTACCTACTGGATTTCAGACCAAGCAGCACCAAGAGAACTGCCTGTCAAAGAAGCATAGAGGTGAGGTTAGCTCATCAACAAAAACTTGTCTCCATGAGGTAAATGTTCACAGTACTGAATTTGAACTGTGGCATAATACCAGTGTTTCCTGCAATGGTTTCCCAGCTACAAGCATTGTATGCCATTCAAATTTTGCCCACCTGCCACATTTCTGTCATGAATCAAGGACTCCCAGAACAGTTCTCATCTAAAAGATCCTGGTCTTCTTCTAGCAGCTAAAAGGGTAATGGTTTTGTATGGTAACAGGTCAGGAAAAGGGCTGTCAAATCTCCATGGGCTGCTTGAAGCTAGCATAGATCTGGTGAACTTTTCAGTTTCTACTTGGCATTGGACCAACATCTGTGGAACTCTAAGGCCTGTGATCAGGACAACAAAGATCATAAAAACAAACAAACTACTTTTCCCCCTTCTTCTGATTCTGGGTGTTTCAACTAGAAAGTTCAAATTACTGCTAGAAACTATAAATGTTAGTTTCTATTACTGTTTCAAGATCCTGGCTAGTTTAATTTCTCAACATATTTTATAAAATACCAAGAGATTTCCTCTTGGACCTAGGTTTGCAAAAAAAAAATCCAATATCTTGGATCATGTGACTCTATTTCAGCATGTAAGGAGGCCAAATGGCTTCATAAGTGAAGCCATTCAGAGTTCTGCTCAAACCAGATTAAAATATTTGCCTATTAGCCCTTTATTGCCTACTTTGTACGTAACATGTAGAAAGCTTCTAACAGATGGAAAATGAAATGCAAAAGTTTATACTTTATAATAAGACTTTGTGTCCTCTAGGGGGATGCTGTTCCATCAGAATACAACAGCCCCTTAACTGGAGCCTGATGTGTTATGTGCGTAACCATATAGGCACACAGGTGTTTACACTGAGTATTTTGCAAATTCAGAAACTTTGTCTTATCAATTTACCTCTGTCAGTTTTAAACAAAGTAAAACTATACAAGAAAAATACTTTGAAGTCTAGGAGAAATGAGAAAGTAGTAGTTTATCTATGGAATGAGCTGTGGGAGAGAGAAATTATCTATACTTCCCCCTCCCCCACATAAATATTGTGAAAAGAATCAAGGGCAGTGGATGAGGTATGGTGAACATCATTTCTCAGTTAGTCTGTGTAATCAATATTATATGTGGTGCTAATAGTATATTGGTGTTCCTTAATAATACTTCTAATCCTCTAACTCTCATTTAATATGTGAAATAGGCTGTAATAAGAATTACAAATTTAATTATGGGGTAGATAACACGCATATTCACATATACGTATGTGAACACATACCATTCATTTATGTATATGTCTATATTTCCTTTTTTTAATTTTATGTTACTTATTATGCATATTTCAAAAACACATACAAAATGGAAAAAAAGCATACATACAGAAAAAGCAAATGACATTCTGTAAGTAGGTTTTGTGTTTTTAAAAGAATTTAAACTTTAGAGGAAAAGAATTGATAGAGGTGAATATAAAATAAGAGGAAAAAGTAATAAACTTGACACAAAAGTGTATTCTAAAAAGCAAAGAAAATATGGGCATTTATTTATTTATTCTGAGGCAATATGTCTAGATTAAAAAAATGTTTAGTATAGTTCTACTTTTGGTATTAGGGATGCATTTTAGTATACAACAATGAGGAATGCAGAACTTTTCTAAAGTCAATTTTAAAAACCACTTCTAGCACAGACACACATTCCAAATATGTAGATAATATTGTAAGGGAGACTTTCTGTTTCAATCAAGCATTTAATATTTCAAATGCTAGATTGTTATGCAAGTAGAATACTTATTACAAATTGAAGATGATAATGAATATCAGCAGAGTCATATTTGCTTTGATGAAGCAGTATGTATACAAGTTTAAGAGTGTGCAGATTAAAAAAGATGAGTAATCACTCTTGCTCTTGTAAAGGGGAATTTATTTGACTTGGATAGTATTCCAACCACAGCAACTCCAAATGTCAGACTGCAGGGAAAAACAATCTTGTTGTTTATCTGTCAAGTTAATATTTGGGTATTATCTTGAAAAAAAATAATCGTGTTCATGTTGATAGCAGGCATCCAAATCATAAAGGTTTTTGTTGTTGTTGCTGTTTTAAAAGGGATTATGAACAAATTTGTCTCCTTGTGCACGGAAATTACAAGTAGGCATTTAGTCTAAATGAATTATGGTCTGAATGCATAAGGAAAAGACTTTGGAACTAGGGAAATACTTTATGCATATGGAAAGGGTGAGTTGGTGACCACCAGAAGTCTCATTCTTGGAAGTCAAACTGGGGCTCAAGAGCAGCTGGACTGGTCAGGCTGGAAGTAGATTATAGATTTTATTTTATTCTTCTGAAGAACTAGACATTGATTCAGTTCTGCCTCTTCTTCTATAGTGTAATCTATTGTCATTTGCTTGAACTGGAATGGAGAAAGACTATTACAAAACACTCTTGAAAATTTTATTTCTAGGCATCTTCAAACTGCTGTGGCTTACCCTTATGTAGTGACACTGAAAAATATTAGGCTATGTCTCGATTACATGTGCATTTCTTGTTGTGCCAGTTAATCCTCGGTTCTTTATTAGTCAGAACACTGAAAAAGTTTGTAAGGGACTTTCCATTTGGGAGTCTGCTTGCGTTGCTGCTGAGGGTATTGTAAGCAATTTTTTAATACTTAGATTCCCACCTGAAATCGTTAGAAGTATTTCTAGCATCCTAATGAATTTTATTCCTCTGATTTGCATGGCTCTGACAGAGAGAGTAATGTTTATGCAATATCTTCAGTGAAAAAAATGTATGCTGTGAGATTTCCAGGTACAAACAAGAAGAAGGCAGCCAACAGAACGTTTACTGCCAGCTTCTGATCCATTTCCAGAGACCAAGAAATATGGGATATATTCTGTATGTTCATATGTATATTGCAGAGCATGCCAAGTCTGCATATCTAACACATGCACACACATCTCTCCTCTGCAAGCCAGGTGAAGAAAGGTAGGTTATTGGGGAAGGAGAAGAATATGTAATATTAATAACAGTGCCTCATTGTATATGATATCATTACAGGTAGGGAATTCTTTATTTTCAGTCTCAAGAGACAATCAGTGAAGATTGCTAATATAATCACCTGAATACCTTTTACTCAGGTCTGATTCTGATTTTGTGGAATTAAGACCACTATATTCAGAACAGCCAGGGTTATAATGCCTATTAAAGTGCAACCAGTGGCTCGGGAGGGTGGGCAGGGGAAGGAGGAATATCAGGGTGTAATAGAGGGAGGAGTATCAGGGTGTAATGGAGGGAGGAAAGAAATGAAGAAATTTGGAATTCAGCCTGTGTATGTGGCAGGGAGGGAGTTTCCATCAGAAGAGAGCTTTTTTTCCAGCTGAGCAGGTGGAAAGAGACATGCTTTGTTTTCACCCCTTCTATGGGCACCTTTTAACAACTGAGCTTCCTGTATTCATTAAAACTATTTCCAGTGTTGACTTTGTTTTGCTGAAGTGTTAATGGGATCAGAATCAGATGCACAGCAATCAGTGTTTTCTGCGTTATTTCTCTGGATTAAAATATTTTTTTAATCTTCCTGTGAAAAACTTGCCTCTTCCCCTTTCTGTCTCCCTCCTGTCTGACAGTCACTGTTTGCTGTTATGTTAGCCAGTTCAACTCTGATTCTCATTAATGGAGGCCTGAGTAAGAACAGAATCAGGTCCAGTGTGGAGGTCTTTGGGAAATAATGACTTTGTCTAAAATGAAACAAAATAAGAGAAAAACATGTAATGTCATAAGCACGCTTCCCTGGTTTATTAAAGACAAATTTAAGTGTATAAGCACAAAGCATAGAATACATTTTCCACACAGTTTTTTTGCCCAAAGATTAGAAAATACTCTCCCTCAATTAATAGTGTATTCTGTGTTACAGTGAAGCACCTGTAAAATACAGGCAGGTGAAGAAAGATACAGGCAGAAAGTAGTACTTGAGGATTCAAAAATAATCTGAGCTTTTCTTGTGTGGTCTAGTCCCCAGACAACTGGAGGTTTATAGTTCACAGTGCTTATCTGGAAATGCTGTTTGAGTGCAGGCTCTGAGAAGTCATAAAACTTGATCCTTTAAAATCCTCTGTCCTAGAGCGGGGGAGGAGTTAGTGGGGAAATCCTTTGCAGTAAGATGCAGCAGTGAATTCTGAAGACTGAGAGCAGAGCTCTTGAGCATCTCAATGTGGCTCCCAGTTCTAAGGTAATACGAGAATTCTCTTTCTCCTTAGGTTCACTGAATGTACTATCTACATCCTATGCAAATTCCAGGATTTAATCTAAGTAACAGGACTTGCTCCCCCCACTCCCCAATTATTTATGTAACCACAGTTAGAATTCTTAAGGAACTTTGTTGTTGTTGTTGTTGTTTTCTTAATTTTGCTTTTCTCAGGATTGAATATGTCTTGCACTCTAACCTACTTTTTCCTGTGGGCACTAGCATTTAGAAGGCATGACTATTTAAGAAAAAAAATCTCATTACAATCATGGTATATTAATAAGTTGATTGAACATTTTTTCTACCTCTCACTACATACTCAAAATATGTTTTTAAAAAGTCATAGCAAGATTGCCTATAAAATCTCTCTAAAG